TTTATTATAAATAAAAATGAAAATAAAAGATGTTACCCACACCCTGCACTTGCAAATGTCGTGAATATTTAAGAGACAAGCAATAAAAACAAGCCATCAGAGTTGGAAAAATCAGAATTATTATTGTCAATGGTCATGGTATAAATGCGCTAAAATAAAAAGAGAAAATATTTTTCTCTCACTTATTCCCTATACAGTCAGTCAGTTGGTAGAAAGGAGAGAAAGAAAAATCAAAGTTTTTATATTGTTCTCTTTCTAATCGCATTTAGTAGCTAGATTAGACTTATACATAAATATAATTTAGCATATACACATAAGTGAGTCTGAGCAAGAGCATGTATACGATTTTATTTTGGCGTTTATGTGATACACAAAGTTCATTAGTTTCGAGGGCAACAGACTGACAACGCTATTCGAAAGTAAACCGCCGTCTGACTCAATAAACTACTTTTTTTTGTCTATTCGCTCATAGAGAAATGAAGAAAATTATTATTACTATTATGTGAGCGTATATAAATACCGGCATTTGAAGCTCGACAGGCCTACATTTTTTTTCTCTACAATTTACATGCTAATTTAGTATAAATTTCATGATCAATCAATGCAAATGCATTCAGTGCACTTGATGCACACAAAAGTCTAATAGCAGTCGATCGATAAAGCGATGCTTATGAAAGGTTATGGATTAATAGCATTCAAAGTTACATCATGAAAATGAAAACAATTGTACATAGAAAGGAATAGCGTTGTTGCATCGAGGAGAGAGAGCAAGATTGTCGAAAGGGAAACTCTTATGTACTTTAGATGAGAATATAAGAATCAAAAAGACGAAAAACACTAGTCGTGCCAATTTTTGAGCTTTTGTGCATGCGCAATGTTAGTAAATGCTTATGCACTTATACATGCAACGATCAAGCAAGAAGAAGAACAAGAAAAGCCATTTCATTCAACCCACTCTCCCTTTCCGTAAGAATTCTCCCATATAATTTACTGTTAATGTATTTTGCCATTAAGCATATAGAAGACATCAGCAGTAAGTTATTTCTAAGAGACACTAGAACTTCTTTATCCATGAAAATATCCACCATCATCATCAACTTTCAAGGATGAATTGGATGGAAACGAATCGAACTAAATGGCGTCAGTCGAACGTGATAGAATTGCAACATTGTGCATCAATGCTTTTCAATGCCATGACTCAGATGGAATTTCTCGTTCTTCATTAAATTAATTGAATTGAAAAATAAAATGCATGATGGCAAATAAACTTTAAAAAAAATTCCTTAAAAGGAGCTCTTCCCCATCCCCTGATTCTTATTTTTTTTTTTATCGACAACCCAAAAAGGCATCGTCCTTGTGCTACTCTTGCAGATATACGTATCTTACATTGATACGATGAACGAAGCGAAGCGAAACACACCATATTCCATGATGGCTCAAGTTCTTTGTCCTTATCCAAGGTTATAAAAAGGACGACCCAATTTTTTTCACTTTTAAAAATACAAATACAGAAAAGAAAGAAAAAAGAAAAAAAAAACTTTCATGGAGAAAATACAGACGAATAGCTGATGAGTGACTGAATGAGTCAAAAAAAAATGATAAAGCTGAGCAAACAAGATGAAAGTAAAAAAAGTTTAATCTGACGCTGTTTAGCATGATGAGAATTGAGATTTTGGGATAGAATTAGTGATTAATGGAGGGTTTCTCAGATTGAGGATTGAAATTTGGCACAATAATTGATCGTGCATACACAACAACATGCAAGCTACTCTGAATGCAATAAAATCTATATAAAAATTCATGTAAAAATTCACACAACCATAGTAAGAACAACAATGGATGATTAAACGACATAAGTGCAAGTAGTTGTCATAACAAACAAAGGGAATAATAATAATAAATTAAAATGTGTACGAGCGAAATGTTGTGGTAGGTAATGGAGACGCCCAATAAATATATAAATTTTTTTTTCATACGTTTCTGGCGTGTCTGACATAAATGGGATATTTTTGATAAATTTCGCCATAAAGAAAATATTATTTTTACATCAGCAAGGCAAGGCAAGATGAGAAGAGATGAAAAATTACTCGTGTAGCTTTCATTACAAGGACACATATCTCCGCATATAATCATTATGTACACACATTCGGGCTATAAAGAAAAAAAAAAGAACTCACTCACACATATTTTCATCGTCATCATCAGTTTTTTTTTTATATTTTTAATTTTTCAATGCTAAATTGTGGGGTTCAGCGCCATTTGCAGAGTCAATAATCTTTTGTACGACTTTTTTTCTCACTCGCTCTTTCTGAGTACTGCTGTGTTTATCGTTTTGTTTTGTTATTTTTTTTTATTGCAAATAGCATTAAGTGACCTTCCAACTCGTTCATCGATTATTATGCATGTGAAGCTTTTAGCCTTTATCTCTCTCAAAATTCACATTTATTGTAGAAATATTTTTTTTTTATCAGAATAATGATATCAGACATGACTGGAAATAAGTAGAGCAGTAGGCGACAAAATTGTGTACTACATGCGTTTGTGTACACAAAAGAAATAACTTCGTTTTTTAAGTAGTAAAAAGAGTATTAACGCATCCACGACCTTTCTCAACGCAGAAAAAAAGAGAGTACAGGCGCTCAACTGAAAATTGAATTAAATGAAAGAAAAAAGAAATTTTTCATTTTTCTTCTTGATAACTTTTTTTTCGTTTGTTCAATTTTACATGCAATGTACTGAAAACATAAATTATCTGACTGCTTTTTTTTATTACAGCACAACTACATTCCATTTTTATATATATTCACACTCATACATATTGTGCTTATGCACTTTCATTGACGCCCTGCCTCAACTTCAGAATTGTTCTACTCAATAACTTTATTGCCGTTGTTTTTTTTATTATTATTATTTTCGCTTACATACTTGCCACATCATGCCTTGTCTTTCAAATAATATAAAGTCCTCATGTATATACATGAACAGAGCTGTGCAAATTTCGCACCATCAAGTGTGTTCCAATTTTTTTACACACACAATTTTTTTTTCAATTCATTTAATTTCTCATCGAAACAGTTGTAACGCAGGCAGGCAGAGAAAGAGAAAGAAATGAAAGTAAACAAAAAAAAAAGTTTGTAATCGAATACGACGTCGACATTTTTCAGACATCACAGTTGTCTGATCGCAATTTTTTATATATTGTATATTTGCGCTTGGTGTGTTGTTTTTTAGGGCAATGCATTCAATCAATGAAAGAGAGGCACATTTGCAATGTCATGTCATTAAATGGACTTATTTCATACAAACATAAGAAGAAAGAATTATTGTATTACTCACTGATGAAGAACGATGTGTGTTCAAGCATGTTTGATTCATAGATAACGAAATTGAATACTTGAACTTTAAGAATGAAATATTTCTAGATGATATGCCTAGCATATGGAAACAATTAATTTTCATTCATAATCTCTATCGAAATATCATGACATTATGCAAAAAAATGTGGATAGCCATAATTCTAGGCTAGTTGCTGTTTTTATAATGTGAATAATATTAATTCATAGCACACGAGTTATGATAGTTCAAGGCCATTATCATTTTCATAAAAAACTATACTTTAAGACTTCGACTCATCCGTTTAACATTTGCAAGCTAGTTTTTGAAAAATGTTCGTGATGATCTTGCATACTGCTTTTAAAACATTCAAATGACTACTTCTGAGAGCTTTGGAATAAAATAAAAAAAAAGCACATAAAAATGTCAAGGACAATTAAATGTCATATATACACACCCACACTATTGTTCTCCCTTTATATTATTTTTATTTTTTTCCATGCAATAAATAAATAATTGTATAGAATGCATGTACATAGCATTACTGCAAAAAGCTATAGCGTCTCTTCTTTTTTCTGTTGAACGCTCAACAAAAATAAAATTGAGTTTTTCGCCATTCGAAGAAAGAAAGAAAGTTGCTTTAGAAAGAGATAGAATGAATACATAGAAATATCCTCTATTTCACCCCTAAAAGCACATACCTTGCTTACATACATAAACAACTCCCACCCACTCACCTCCCTCAACCCACATCATACTCGTAAACTTCGTAATGAAGATGGAGTCGAATAGAGTTCAAGGAACTTAAAAGGACGAAAAGAAGACATCGACAAAAATAATATAAAAAGTATAAATACTTCAAATGGGAATTTGTCTCATTCTACTGTCATTTTTAGAAAATCTACTCAGTCACCTTCTTTTACGACCCACCAACAGCAAACATGATGATGCGTCTACATAGACGACTTTTATAATAAAAAAAATACCTCAACATTTCACCCAGTAAAAATCGAATGTGCAAGAGCTTATAGCATGGAACTTATTCTCAATGGAAATCTTATTAACTGAGGTTATGGAACCGTCTTGCATGCTCGAAAATAAATGTAATATGACTGTATGTGTAAGAGAATTTCCCTTTTCATATTTCAATTTTTTTTTTCTTTTTTGTCGAAATGAAATTGAGACCATCATATGACAAATGAAATTTATATTACAGTCAGTCACTTACTCACCCATACACACACACACACACATACACACAAATGCAGGGAATTTTTGCACATATTAAAAAAGAACTTGAATCATGTGCACATAATTGGATTATTATTGTTACTATACATTTACAAGAAAATTTTCCTCTCATTCCTTCAAGTTCAAAGAACTTGCAATAAAGAGAAAAATCGATCAAAGATGATGTAAAGGAATGAATTGTTATGACAATTATAGAAATGCAGTAAGATAATAATAGAGTTGCTGTAAACATTTTCAAAGATAAAGGGTCGTTCTCTTATGTTGTCCAACATTGAGTGGGATAGGTTATGTTTGAAGTTGAGTAAGTCAATAATCTAAAATTTGACGAAAGACTAGAAATACAGTTCTCGTTGGACATCACAATTGCACAAACCCTTTTAAAAAAGATAATTCATAGTAAAGAAAGTGATAATTACAGTATGATCCTTGAAACTGCAAACTTCGACTGTTGTAAACTAGCGGATGATCCATCCATCGATTCTGTGCTTGCTCAATTATGGCAGCAACAGTCATCATCGGTTTCTCCTTTTTCAACATTTTGTTTCTGTTATTTTAACTTTTTCGTTTACTTCTTTGATTATTGTTGTTTTCTTAATTGTGAAATCCTCGAGCGATGATTAAGATTTCGCGCCTCAAGTGAGATTCACGTATGTACTTTTTATTATTATTTAGTTAATGCAAGAGAAAGAAAAGAAACTTTCTTTATACTTGTTTTTATTATGAAATCACAAGAAATCTGATAATAATAAAATTTAACTGCTGTTGCGTTAATCAATGTTCCACTTATAATTCAATTACAATTTAAAGCCATTCAAGTATATAGCACAAGCACTTTTATATTGCAACAATTCATTGGATAAAGTTATTTTAATTATGAACAGTTAATCTTTTCGCTGCTTATTCATCAATCTGTATCCTGGTTTGTTGATTGACTTGTGACTTATTAAAAGTTTTTTGTTTTGGATCCTTTAAGTCATAATACATCCATTAACACAGAACAAACAATGTATCTTATGTGTCTTATTATAATTACAGTTCACAAAATGTCCCTCAATATTCAATGGCTATTATAAGAGCCGTCAATCAATTGTGAATATGTGTATACATAATTTTCCAAGTTTAGTCTATAATATTCTATTTTTTTTTCACTGTATCGAAAAAAGGAAGAAAAGAAAAGTTATTATTTTTTTTCTCTATCTCGTGTTTCCCTTTTTCCTCATAGCTAGAGTATAGCACTGTTTGTTTAATATTAAATTCGTTAGTCTAATGAAATGTTTACATTGAATCGTACTACTCATTCAAGTTTATTAAACTCTCTCGCACGCTTCACGACTTTATATAGTCCCGACATAACATTGAAACGCAATTGCAAATTTTTTATTATTTAATTTGTGTAGGATATGCCGAAAAATACAACCAAGCTTTCACACAATTTGAACTTGTTAGATTCAATTAAAGCTTTTATTTTACAGCTCCTCTTTTCTATCAATTCACATCTCTTAATTCTTTATTTTACTCTATGTCCTCATCGGTTGAATCCAAAAGCGCGACTAAAATTTTATAAACTTTCAATGCACACATTTCATTTCGTTTCTTTTTCTTTTTTTGATTTACTCAAAGTAAGAAATGGAAAAAAAAATATTCCTTTTTATCAGACCAACAAAAAAAAAAGTGTATATATTATTATAATATTATTTAAAACGTTTTGTTCGCTTCGACGTTCATATCACCAATGCAAGAAAATATGAACGAAAAATAAGTATTAAATACAATACAAATTTTTTTGATGTTTGTTTGTACAATGCTTTTTATATATATATTCTTTTTTTTTTCATCGCATTCCATAATGACGACTTCTTTTTCTCTACTGTTTCTCTCAAAACTCTCTTCTGACAGCAGCAGTGTCGGTTTATATAAAGTGTGAGTGAAAAAGATGAAACAGCACAAAAAAAAACTGCAGTTTCGTTTCGATAAAAAAAAATAAAACAATATTTTTTTTGCGATCATGTGAAAGTGAGATAGAATAAGAATAGCGCACACGAAAATGCACGAGTATATACATATATGTGTCTGATAACAGACGACATCGACGCTTTTGATGTTGTTGTTGTTCTTTGTCATTATTATTTTATGTATTTGAAAAGTGAAAAAAAAATTCTAAAATATATATTCGGGATTGGGGGTTGTTCATAAATAATGTTCAATAAACATTCGAATTTCGCCACCCCTCTCTGATCTGTATCTCTAAAATTAGACTCCCAAAATCTTCTCCTAACTCTTTAAGCCCAACTTTTATCGAGAACGACTCAAGAGGTGAAGGGAGGGTTAAGTTTCTAGAGCTCATATTTACGAATGACGTCATAATCTTTGATAGACGTCATTTACAAACCCCCCAACTAAAATCATGTGTATATAATGCGCTTTAACTGAATGCATTCCCGAAAAATGAAGCTCAATATTAAAAACATATTATGGCTAACGAGATGGAGAGTTGTTTTGAAGAAATTACTCGAATGACATTGAGGAAAAAAGAACTTTTAATTTCATGAGTCTAAATAACGATTCCGACAGTCTTTGACTGCATGATATTTTCTGGTCAAATGCAATTTTGATGATTATGAACTGATAAGGCGTGAATACGATTCTAGTGAAACAAAATTTTCCACTTTTTAAAATCTTATTATTAAGTCACTAATACAAGAAAGTCTATTTTTGAAATCCACTTTAAATATTTACTTATAATTCCACATCATTATTCGATTGATGATGTTGATAATACATTTTTTTTTTGTGTCTGTATTTGCATTTCAAATGCACATTGAATTACAATATATAATTTATATTTGGGTCTTATCACAGAATAAATAGAGGAAGGAAGCTAACGAAGAAAAAGATTTTATTTTTATGAGCACGTGTAGCTTCACTGTGCCATATTTGCGTTCTAAAATGAAGTGCATCACTTCCTTTTTTCGCAACAAAATCAAATGCTTTCTAGAAGATCTACACAGACATTGTAGACAATACACTCGAATCAAAAACCGATACAATTGTACTTGAATGCTCTTTTTTTCGCGTATATATATAATAATCTTAAAAACGTGTCTTTACTTGTTATTATTAGATTACGATAGAAGAAATGCTTCACTATCGGTCACTGATAAACCTGACACCACTCTATGGCTGTCTCTTTTCATTTTATATTTATTTCTTATTCTACGCTCTTTTTTGTGCGTTGTATGTGCTATTTTCATTCATAAAATACTATCAAAGATTTATTTCTTGTTAATTCTCTGATTAGAAATTTATTTCAATGTTAAAAGTTCAATGTAATGAACGAAAACAGTCTTAGCCTAATTTTAGGAGGCATGTGCGCCCTAATTGATTCACTTTGTGCAATTAAGAGTAGATTAGGAGCAGATAAGGATGTTTTAGACTAGAAAATGTTTAAAGGTATCCAGGTGTGGGTTTCTCGGTATAAATCTACTTTAGTGACATACCTCAAAGGAAGTTTATGAGTGGGCATCTGACTCATAGCGAGTATGGGCCCTCCATGAAATAATTTAAAACCCTCATCCGAAAAATATTCTAAATACAGCCCTTCAAAGCACATGACACATCTCTCAAAGTCGAACATTTAAAAATAATTTCATAACTGATGTAAACTGAGACTTTTTTGCATCCGAAAAGCGGGAAAGTAAAACTCACAATGCAGAAATTCCTCCTTAATTTGTAAATTTCTTATAATTACAAAAATAAATATTTAATAAATGCTCAAGAAATGATGAATTATTGTATACGGTTGGTTCAGGGTCGAGCGTATTCTTAATTTCCAAGTGAGAGTAAAAATAAATATTTATATATATAACAGGACTATCGCATTCGGTGGTATGTCGACATGCACTTTTGGAAATCACATCGCTGATAAGACTGCTGTCGACGAATTTTCTGTCTAATTTGCGAAATTTTTCGTGTACGGCATGCATTTCACACAAAACAATATTTGATATTGACACACAAAAAAAAACATTATTTATAGGCAATATTCTTTTTATTTCTGTGTTATGTATATGATTCTCATTTTTTTGGTGTTATCACTAATAAATCGCGCTGAGCTCACTAGTAAAATTTGAAAATCCGAATAATGAATACAATTAAGTTTTAAAATAAATAGCACAGCGATCGCGTCACATTATGAACTGCTGCCAATGCAAAATAGCAACTATGTAGTGTAATATTGAAAGCAAGTATAGTCTAAATTTTAATACTATGTATGTAATTTTGTTTATTTGAAAACTCGTAACAAATTCTGAATTTTGATAACTCTTTTGAATGACAGATTAATTAGCAAGTGGAGGTTTTTGAAAAAGGCGAGAAGTTTGCATGAAAATGTGAAATTGATTGTTGTTGATTCGATTGTAAATGCTGTCTATTGGGTCAGACCACTGCTAGTGATAGGGGTTGTGCTTGTAAAATTTAACATTTTTTGTATGAAATGTCTTTAAAATAAGGTTTTTGAAAATTTTATGCGTAGTTTCACACCCTTTAATATTAAAATTCAATCTGAAATGAATATTGACCCTAGAACCTCTGGATTTGATTTATATGTTCTATTTTTAAACAACTTTTAAACTAAAACGGCAATAAACAAATTTTAAATGCTTAGATTTTTTATTCTACATAGTTTTGCACCCCTGACTTCTTAATTTGAACTAAGCAGTGCACCCACATATGAAATTATAAATCTTAATATAAGATTCTATTTGTTGTAGACCTCAAAAACACTAGAACATGCAACTTTACTTCAGTTCATAATTCAAGCTAACTGATACTAATCAAAGTAGACATCAAAAAAACTAGCTAAGTACAAGTATGAACAAGTAAAACTTAAATTACTTAATTATCTGTGTTTATTCGAGTCATAAAAAATAATATTCAAAAGTCAATGTCTCATAACGATTATCAAACCTATGAAATCTCAACTATTCAATATTAATGAACACAGAGCATGATCATGTACGATTAATAAAAAGTAAAATAATTAAAAGAGCAGTCAATACACAGATAGATAGAGATGCTTTCTCATATAAACTAGAAACATAGTGAGCATAACATATGTGGCTTTGAACTAATTCTTCATAAAATTAATTACAATGATGCATATTCTCTTTACATGAGTTAAGAAGATGAAGAAGAAGCCGTAATGCATTTTTTACTGCAGTTTTTTTTATATATGTAAACCACATTAATCGCGCTTTCCATTTGACCAATTTTCTCGCACATTAAAAAAATTTTCTTTTCTTTTCTTTATTGAAGGAAAAATAATTTACTTTTTCGTCTATTAAAATGTAATGAAATTATTGCTGTTCCATCTTTTACTCACAAATTTATAACATTCTGCCGCTTTTTCAATTGAGAAACAGTAGAAAATAAGAAAATAACAAAAAATTTAAAAATATACTAACCAAAAAGAACAAAAAAAAGTTTGCGACGAAATTAGCAAACAAAATGCAGTATAAATGTATTAAAAATATAAAAAATCGATGTCTCAAAAACAAAATGAAAAAATGTATTTTGTTTCACAAAAAAAAATATATATAAAATTGCACAATCAGAAGACGCATTGAGCATTCTTTTTTTTGTGTTCTTTTTTTCAAGTTCTCAAATTTAAAGTCAGCCGACAAGCTTCGATTTTCACACAGAGAGGAAATAATTGTATGTATAATATAGTTTTTCCTTTTCACAGAACAATAATGAAAAGTTTACACATGAAAGAAAAATATTGTCATTTGAAAATAAATAGTCTATAATCTATTACATTGTCGTGCACTTTTTTATTTTGCCATATACAAGCCGGATGAATTTAATATTTAGTTGACAATATTATATTTTCCATCCAATTGACAGTTGTGACAGTTGATTATTTTTCAAATCACATTTTTTTAATTCGACGACACAAAAAAAATTAATTTTTTTCACTTTATAAAAAAAATTATAGAGATTTTTTTTTTTATATTTCAAAAGAAGAAAAATATCGGCGCTCAAATTACACGCGCAAAAAAATTATACACGCGGCCTTCTCAACTAACAATTTATTTGCGACTGAAATATTCTGTGGCATCTATATAAAATGAAAAATAATTTTTTTTCTTTATGTATAATTTTCAAACTCGTTCGCTGTATCGTTCTCATTGTTGTTGCTTTTAGCGAATGTGAGCGAATTTTAAAGAGCTTGAAAATCGACGACATAATAATTTTTTTCTTATTTGTGTTGCCAGATCTATCTGCACGTTTGTTTAGGGGTAGTTTAGATATTGCGTGATACTTTAGTGGGGTTAAGAGTATAATTCATACTAATTTTTCAATCTTTTTTATATAAAACATGGCACTTGGAGTAGGTTTTACATGTCCATAGTGTCACCTTGATCCCGAACAAACCCCAAGCAAACAATTTTTAAATACATTAATGCAGTTCTTCAACAAAATTTTTTTCGCATATTAAATGAATCTCAATCCAAGTACTTAATTCTCTATTTATTCAGTAGTGACCAGCGTAAACACTAATCTAAAATGTTCTCAGAGAACTAAAACGAGAGAGTAAAAATGAGCG